GTACCGTTCTCCGAAAACGACCTTCGTTGGCAACTCGACGATCAACGATCGCTTTCCTGTTCGCCAATCTTTCCGTCCTACAATCGCTCGTCAGCCGATCAGTCCCACGATTCAAACCGCTATTTATCGAAAGTGTAAACCCTTTCTAGCGGGGGGCTCCTGTAGTGACTCACATTTATCACGAGAACACGACTGGTTTAATAAAAACAATTATTATTATAACCAAGTGTACCAGTGACTGTTTTAATGTGCTTTTGTTTGACTGTGCTAATGACAGCTATTTTGTGCTTCCATACTTATACTTACACTTTGATTGTAACTTCGCGCGAATTCGGTTACCTTCTGTAACCAAGGTTGTATCCTGGCACGATCTCGGTATCCTTTCGATGCCACGAGATCGCCAGCTAATAAACCTCGACTTGGTCCATTAATTGCCTTCTGATATTTGGCTTCTCGGGGATTTTATGGAGTCATTTGGAACGAGCTTCTTACGCCTTCTGATCTATTTGGCACGTATATCTTGGTAGCGGTGTTCATAGTTAATCTCAACTCGACGCCACGCTACAAGATCGTGCTTAGGCATATAGCACTGCACACATGTCGCGACAACCATTCAACCTGGATTGCATTGATGATATCACAGGTATTCAGTGTTTTTTTATTTATTATTATAAGCTTTAGTTAATATTATATTTTCGGTACAATATAGAATTCTCAGCACAAAGTATTTCAACAAGTTTCCGTTTCTTTCTTCTGGGTCGATCCTGACGATAAATATTGAGTGATAGCCAGTTAGATGTCAGCAGTCCAGTAAATAAACATCTGAATAATGTATATTCTTTTCTCTGCATATTGCCAGCGACCACATCATCTCTTATTGAGCTTTTAGTAACTTTGACAACGAAAGGTTGTAAACTTTTCAGAAATGCACAAATATGGGTTATGCGATTAATATACAAAATGATATATTAAAACAAACAAAAATAGATAACTTGTTGAAATATTTAGATGACAGGAACAGGTAGCCCAGATGCTCAAGCAGGCCGCCTAATTCAACGCTTTTACCAGTAACACCTTCTAATATAATTCGTTACCACGCAGAGAAATCAAAAAACACAGTCGAGGAGATCGGAAGAGTATATTTGGCGATGGCCAATATATCGGAATTCTCTGATCTAATCTGGCTGGCGATTGCGGTTGATGTTAAGCACGGCGTTACAACACGTGATCTGGTGCGGATGCATGACCGAGCACCTTCAGCTAGATGAGTCCTTAAGCTAGGTGAGTCAATTAGAACTAATGTGGTCAGCATCCAATGTCGAAAACTTAGAGCTATTTATTTTGGGGATTTATTTACCACTGCAGCATGAACATCGACACATTGATCACTATCCAAATATATTTTTAGATCTAAATTTCCGTGACATCCTTACAACAAGATTCTTACTTGCAGTGAATTGTGGTCGGATTTACTTTATTTACAATTCTGGAAAGACGAAAATAACGAGATGCGCTTAGACTACGACTACTTGTAACAGTTTCACTTATTTATAAGTAGACTAATCATTTTACAAATCTCACCCAAAATGCCAAACATCTACGATAGTACAAGCGCGAAAGTCAAATCTATCCAGAGATCAACATGGATGGTGTACATGCCCATGAATCTTCAGCCTATCCATTTTTAAATATTCAATATGTGTCAATAATCTACCATTTGACCATTCAATTAGTGAGTAACTGCCGCATGCGAAAGTATACTTTTCTCCAATTACTCCATTAAAGGCTCTAAGTTCTACTTTATTTGCTTTCCTCTGACCAGAAAGTTAGGACGCGCTTAAGCAGCGTGTTCATACCAAACACATAATTAGCTCTAAATGATTAAAATAAAATGAATTGAATTAACTTTGTACTTTGATACGCAGCATTAACGGAAGAATGCTCAAAAGTGAGCTTTCATTCAATCTGTTATAACTCTACTTGGGTCCAAAAGTTAGCGTGGACTGTTTCCGACTTTTGTTTACACTTTCTGAGCATTCCCGCACACTATCTTTCAAGGGGCAGCAGTTTGATATCATTCTGTTTATTCAAGTTTCATTCCTTGGAGCCAAAATCTTCAAATTTGTTCCTCGTATCGCGTCTGGTATTTCCAAAGTTCCTGATTGGGACACTGAGCCAGTGAAAATATCCAAAGGGAATGTGGATGATATACGTTCTCATTAGTAAACTTTAGATAATGGAAGCTGGAGTTTTTGCCGAATAACCTTTATTTTGTCACTGATTTGTGAAGAACAAAATTGCTTCGTGTTATTACTCATTCATTTGCTCGTGTTTTGGCAGTCGGTAGGAGTTTAATACATTGTCTTTCCTCATCAATTTTGGACACGAATATACTAGTAGCGAGAGATGACTTGCTGAAGCCCTGTCGCAAGGAAAAATAACTCAGAAACGCAGTTCTGACTCTAGAATTTCAAAAACATCTTGAGCCAAAGCTAGAAAATACACTTTATGGCAGTGCCCAGGGAAATAACGCCAACACAAATTAGGTACATAATACTGCCTTTTCATAGGAAGATAAAGGCATTAATTTGACTTGACCTTTTCTAATATTGTAATCGATCAGCTGAAGAGGGAAAAAGGGCGTTCACGTGTTAGTCATAGAAGACATCATGTGCATTAGAAGCGAGAAACAACAGCCATGGCTGATATACGTGGTGTTCATTAGTTTTAACAAATGAGTCTGGATATAAATGAAGTCTTCGCAAAAGCTAAATCTATTATTGCAACAATGTGATATCCAGGATGTACTACAGACTTATTGTGATCCATCCATATCCGTCGTTCTACTACTTTTGTTCAGGTTTCATGGTGGACTCAACCACCAAACCAAAAAACGTAAGGTCTCGTCCAATGAGTCAATGAAACACAACGGTTTCACACCCACTTTCTAGGTCACACGAGGCCATCCCTACTGAAAAAACCATATGGGAGCAGAAAATGATCCCACATATATGGCCAGAAAACTCAGTATCAAAACATTCCTTGAGACCCATATATATAGTAACATCAACGCAACAACAACCTTACATCTTGCATCTTCACATCTTCTATTTATAGATTCACTGAACCTGGAACTTCAGAGGGAATATAAGATATCAACAACAGCTACATAATGAGGAATAATTAAAAGATAAGGATTAAATCACATGACGCTAGGTCAAATCCTTTGGTTCTCTTTGTTTTTGATTTCTGAGGATAGGTTACTGAAGTGTGGGAATGCCTTCAAAAAATGGCCATTGAATTAGAAATGCCTTTTACTTGACGTTGTCATAACCCAAGATAAACTCTGCTATTTGTATCGTGATTAAAATGCTAGAACTAAACCGCCCCAATTAAGGGTCGGGCTGAAATTAACAGTTAAACAACCTTCAGCCATTGGAGGTAGGCACGATAAACTGAAGTTGGTACGGAGAGCCGTATTAAAACCAAACGAAATAACTGGAGAGGTCAATATCATAGTGATGTATGCGGCTCCAGAGTGACCATCATGTAGCTCGGACAAAGCTCTCGTAGATGATAAAAAATACGGCAGTGGTTGTAACATACTCTGATGGTATACAAGACAAACTGGTCAAACATGCAGACTATCTGATCCCCCAGGCATTTAATTAATTTTTTTCACCTGATGACTGTCAAATGTACAGACTATGGTTACTTAGGAAAACTTACCAAGTTGTCGTATAACGTAAGAAGCGACCTTCTCAGCTATATCAGGTGCAATGTAAGTCATTCTCCATTTCTGAGGCAAATATAGTGTAAACGTACCAACAATATAGTATTCTCAATAGCCCTCTCACAACAAACCTTAACCCAGAGCGAGACCACAGCAGCTAAACTTATCGCACAAGGAAAAATCTTGCTTCGGTTAGTCCTATGAGAACTAGCCAATCACTCCCTACATATGGCTTTGCAAACGGACATCACTATGAAAAAACCACGCATACGGTGAATACTGGTGACCATACAATAACGTAAAGTGACTTAGAGGCAGAAAATGAGACTTAAAAACATGTATTCTCAGATGAAGCTGAAAATCTTAGTGTTAACTGAAGCCCACCTCTCTCTTATGTCACGGGCAATGGATTAAACATTCTCCAAATATGGCACGAAACATAAAATGAGAGTAAAGATTTACATCAACAATCACTTTAAAGCTGCGATAACGCCCAACTGCAAACTAGTCAAGTTACCAAAGTGCTGAGTGTGCTACCTCAAGGCAAACAGCTCGACCGATTTGCCGAAGACAACTTGGCGCTATCACTTCGAAACTCGTTCTGACACTCGTTAAACCGTACTCAGCCTCATTACAAAGCCCACTTCCTCATTAGTTCCCTCTCTTAAAAACAGACATGCATCCTTTGGGCAGAGTAGAGAAAAGGATAACCATGTAGGCACTTGGGATACGGAACAATTTTGACGACCACGGATCCCGATACTTGTGATTATTCTCGTTGAGCTACAGGAGAAAAAATGTGATATAAAAGTGGCACTCGGTACATTAAATATGAAAAGTTACTTTACTACAAACATCCCGGCAGAAAATCACCACTACGCTCCCCGAAGCAACTCAAGTGAAACACGCATGTACGCCCATGCTTTTTCTCACCAAGATTACCTCCAATTCTGAATGTTTTTCGTGCCGGCAGATACCTGTGGGTATTTTTATAGAAAAAACCAGATTAGCGGTCGAGTAGGCCTTTATTCAGACCGTGGGACAGAACAGTTGGAGCTCAAGGTTGTCTTTTTCAGACGTATAGATCGGCTTACGCAAGCTAGTCACATAGATTTGGGATAAATTATATAACTAACGATTAACTACCAAGTTCACAGAAGTTGCTGTAACTAGGTAACCAGACTACTCACATGGAATGATATCATTGACTTGAAACCGTATATCACTATCAAGATAGGTTTTCAAATAAATCAACTGGTTTACAACTCCTCATTTCAATGATATTGGATAGTGAAATTATAAACGTCTCACTTTTGATTGGATTTGGTACGTAAGCGTTTACATGTTTCTTTAATTGTTCTTTTTGTTTCTAACTTGTGGATCAATCACCTCCAGCCATGAAAAATAGTTATTCAAGTCGCTGACCGAGTACTTACTACATAAAACCTGATGTTTTGCATTGCTACGGACGACAATAAGTATAATCGTTTGGCGTGATCTCTCTCTCTCTCTCTCTCTCTATATATATATATATATATATATATATATATATTATGTCACCACTCCACACATCACCGTTAACATTAAACAACTAAAATCCCATAATTCCTCAATTTTATTCGTTTATGTAAAGTATTGTTCGTTGGATAGAGTCATTTTAAGGCTAGCTTTAAATTTGACAAGCATCATGAATATGGTTTCAGTGGCTCCATTTCTCCCTTTTTATTTATCAACCCGACTGTTACTTTAAATTACGGAGCTAGAAGTAAAAAATACACCAAAAGTAAATGCATATGTAGTGACCAGTGCTCTTCAACGACGCATGCTTCTGGGATAACAAGTGTTTTACTCTCCCAATCTTTACTAGCTTGCTTAATATTATGTGGGTTGATTGAGTATATTTCCCATTAAAAACATCCAATCAGGACTGCTTGTGCTTACACTAATTATGCCTTGGGAAATTAGACTTAGCAACCTAATGAAAGCCGTTCTTCGGGATATCTTAGTATACTAATCTAGTTTTAAGTTATACCTATGTCTAAGTAATTAGTATGCTCAGGGTTGTTGATCAGTACAGTTGAATTTGACCTGTCTCCCGATACTTCAACATATGGTTAGGTGTGACTTTATTTAGGTACGCTACGCTGAGCACTTTCTCGTAAATGGTCTCTATGATCCAAGAGTTTCGTGCTCACTACTTTTGCTTCGCTTAGTTGACGTGATGAGGAAAAAGTTGACGGATTCTCGCGAATTAGTAAGTTTTGATTTTAAGCTAATTAACACACGTAAGCTCGAGAATTCCATCAAAATCCATGGTATATAAACCTGACTACCGTAAAAGTACAAGCTGCTTAATCGATCAGATTAGTAGAAGCTTGTTAATATTACCGTTTACATAAACACCATGTTTTAGGTCCTTATGATTTATCTCAGCCTACTCTCAAAGTATCGCTAGAAAGTAAATTTGTGACTCACATCTTAGTTTTGCCTATGTACCAATATGAACCACAGCATATTTATAGTCACCACAGGACTATTTATACAACAAATTAATTATTTTTTCATATTTGTTTTGCAGGACACTTCTCTATTATCGTCACATAACTTTAATGAACCTTAATTTCTATTGTCATGAATATTAATCTGAATATTTGCAATGTAACTATTACTGGGTTAGCATTTTTCTTTCTTTTCGCTGCATTTCAAACAGCATCCTTGACTGCAGTAAGTTGTTTTCTAGTGCGTGTAACTTAATTGCATCTTTTTCACAGCAAAATGTTTTGGAAGCTGTCTCAAAACAGCGTAACAACAGTTTTGATGGCACAGGTTACACTAGGTAAATACCATTTTATGTATAAGTATTGTTACAGCTTAGCAATTGTGTATATCTCATTTGGTTTATTCAACTGGTTTGCACCAATTGTTGTAATGTATCTGGGAGAAAAATATTCTATGATCGCTGGTTCATTTTGTTATGCGTAGGTTTTCAAAGACGATGTCATTTCCTTTCAGTTTATACATTGCTTCTTATATTGAACCATTTGAGTGGAGCCTGTATTCGGCATCTTTGGTAAATGGAATCGGTGCAGCAGGTAAACTTTTGAGTTGAAATCATCTATTAAGTGGTCTGTTTGATCCCTCTGTTTAGTGTTGTGGACTGCTCAAGGTGCATTCATTACCGATTGTTCTACCAAATCTAATTTAAATCAACATTTCAGTCTGTTCTGGGGATTATTCCAAGCTAAGTAAGCGATTTTATTCATTTTTGTGGTTATTTCCTTTTTGCAAGATAGGCGAACCTTAAAGTTGTGTTATCATTGTGTCTATGATTTCTTACGAAATTCTATCTTTTCAACTTAAACGTGTCATTGCAAACCTACTTATACTTTCAGTACTTGGCTTTCATTTATTTAGTTCCGTGTTTGAACGGTGCTCTGTCTACTTCGAACTCAACAGGTGGGTGATACGCTTAATACTCAATCATGTACATGGTTATATGGTTCTCTTGATAAGTTTACCACTCACTTTCTAGCCTCAGGAAATATCTTTCACAGTCTGTACATGTTTTCAGTTGGATTCAGCTTTCTTTCATACCCCGATACCTTGTGAATCAACCGATTCTCCGCTTTTTCCAGACAGTCCCAGCGTCGGTAAATAATAGGTAATGTAAAATTCGCCGGCATGACATTCGTAGTACATGTACAAACCATCGAAGACGGTGTTTCAATATGATGACACTAACTTCATTATCGGCACTGCCCAAATACGCGTTTCCGAACCGCCGCATTACTAATATAGTGTTTCCACTAAATGCCAGTAATCCTTGTAAGAAAAAGGTGATTCAATACAGAGAGTCATTTAACATCTTCAACTTGGAGTGGCCAGATTTCACAAGCGTAGAGCAGACTGCTTCCACTCGACCTTTAACAGACACGGTTTGAGCCGTTTTGGTTTTCAGGATACGTAAATTGGTCTTATTCCTCACGCCACCACTAACATGTCCATAGTTACATAAACATATCAACTTTTCGAATATTTTTAACGGCTTAATACCAAGAGTGTGTGCATTGACAGTCCCTCACCAGTTTTGTAAAAGTACTTAATACCTGTACTCGGCACATGGTATACATACGAACGGTCATTACCAACTGATTAAATGCGGATCGCATGACTTGAGCATGATTGCATGGTAAAACAATATCGTCCAAATACTCAAGGTCAAAAGTCCTTCTCCAAGTAACAGTTCCACACCATTAGCTACTTCCATCAGAACTGTCTCCAAAATCTCATCGGTGGGAAAGAGAAATGGAAATTAAGCAACTCTGCCTAACCACCATTACTGGAATGAAGTAATGGTGATAGGTGGTTGTATTTCCTCAGCCTGCCTGAGATATCTTTACACAGAGTCTTCTCACGGATCGTTCCCTCAATATTAAGAATAAAATTTGCTATTAAGTGTTACTTTCTCTGAAAAAAATAATCTGGGTCAACCATACAATGTAGTTGCTTCTGCTAAGTCAAACTCATCAATTCCTTGTTGAAATGTTTTGAATACTGGCTAACTAAACCCTTAAAACATCAACATTTTAATCAAAACTGGTACTCGTCACATAAGTCCTATTTCTACTTTATATTTGACAAGGCTCTGAAATATGAAGCGAAAGATATGAATATCAGTTGAAACCTTATTCCACTACATTAAGTATATCTAGCTGTAGAGGTTCACATATAATGAACGTCAAACGACTAATCGTCACCGTTATCGTGCTCTTGATGGGACATAACTCGTGACTATGAATCAATGAGTCCTGTTTAGGTACTACTAAATTTCAATAACATACGACAGTTGATCTATGCATTTTATTTCTAAGTGATTCTCCAGTTCATTTTAATTAAGATTGAAATTACCCAGTTCACAAGCATACTTGAATGATTATTTTGTCCTGTTGTTTGTCTAAAAATAAAATCTAATGTATACATTTTTTTTAAAAAATTCAGTCAAATAGTCGGTGGTTTGTACGCTTACCTATCACTATCGAATATAGATGAAATCTCTCGCACATTACGTATTCGGCTTTATGGTGGATTGTTGGGATGTGCTATTTTTGGAATTTTATTATTATTCACGCTGAGAAAGCCTCATAAAACAGACATTTCACACCAGCAGTTAATTAATATGGAGATGAATTCCTCTGGTGATAACTTGAGTGAATTAACTCCAGATTACTCAACGTGAGTGGATTTTTTTTACATACCTCAACTAATTTCAAATATTGAGAAATCACGTGTACAATAATATAACAAATCCAAATAATATTGTTTTTAGTTAAATCGCCATCAGTATTCCCTCTAGTACATAGTAATGTGTACACGCATTTATAAAAAATATTAAACCAATGAAGGCAATTTATGGGTGATTAATAATGATAAAAAAGGTGCTTTTTATGCTTTCAAATTTTTTCCCAATGTAGGTAGTTTTATTATAGGCAGGAAACTTGTAATATTTATGGATAACCTTTTCTTGTTCACCAATGTACCACTTAATTGCGAAAATTGAATTCATATTTTGGCGAATATTAGAAAAATAGATTGGTATTGGAATTTCGGAAGACATTATTTTCAAGGTGTACAATAACGATCTGTTTTATCTTTAACAGTTTTCGAATAGATGGAATAACCATTGAACCCATTTTTATGACTCATCGTAGTCGATTTCTCCCCTTAAAATGGAAAATGAACCTCAAGGGGATGCCAAGGTCTATACATCAACAATCTTCGATCAGAAAATTAGCAGAGAAACTCCTAAGGCAATTTATCAGTATACACTCAGTAATCGATTTCATTTATGAAAAACAGAGTGATACTTAGTTTCATTTCTTTAAGGCTTCTTTAATCAGACAAGCAGATGGGTCGGGAAGTAGAAGTATGTATTTTTACCAGTTTCTAGTCGACCAGTGGTGGTTATTCAGCGGAATAATGAGAAACCTGGTTTCGTCACTTCGACGTATATTAATTGGTCGGACTGCTCCCTTGGAGAGAGCTGTTTCATGTATACTACCGAGCGACCTAGCCAATAATTATTCATCTCTCTTCGTTGTTTAGAAATGGTCAAATTGAGTTAACACAATTCTGTTTTATTATACTTGTTCTGTTGTAATCATATGGTAGATGTAACCATACCTTTCCAAACGACTTATCAAGCTCCTTCAAATTTTCTCAGTTCGATTCAATTTCATCTCTTATATATGGGAAAAGCTTTTGGGCTTCTAACTGACAGCTTTAGTTTTTGTATTCAAAAATAGTTTCTCATGCCTTAGATTCTTCCGTGATCACATAAAACTTAATAGGTGATCGTGCTAGGTTTCTTTCCAGTCCTCTCATATATCCCGTTTACTATTCGCATATTTAAACGGCAATTCACAGATGTTGTATTTCGTTACGTCTAATGATTATTATTTCAATAATTTTACTTTTTCAAGTTTTCATTCCCTATGTCGAGATATTTATTATGCTTGTTTTTGTAATTACGTCATTTTTCCAAGTGAGATTTCGTAAGGCAAGTAAAGTTACAGACATTTATCTGAAGCTATAACTGTCAGTGAATAATGTATTCTGTGATGCTACCTCTCACCTATTCAGTTTGCCACTTTTTCCTTGCAATACATTATTGTAATTGAAAATCCGTCAGCCATACAGGGTCTGAACCCAAGTCTTCATTCTTGCAGCCATCTACTACTCATCCTCTAAACATTGCAAATGTGTTAATAGAAGATAGTATTCTAATCTTTCTTTCTAAATTAAATGACCGATTAATCCCAAAGTGTAGTTTAACTCCGAGTACGTTGAATTCTCATACGTTTTCACAGGGCAGTTGTTAGTTCTGCTAGTATAAAGTAAAGTACACTAAATTAGAATTATTCAGTGAAGGAAAAGTTTTAAATCAAATTTCTTGTCAATTAATCCTCGGTGACTTTTCTGGAATTTATAGTCAGCGGACGTTAATAGAAAATATCCAGAAGACCAAAGAAAATCAGTAGTCAAGATCCATATACTAATCCTCTTAAACCTCCTAAATTCCATAAAGTATAAACTATCATTACGTTTTAAGATCTTCGTTATTTTACCGTCACTTTTCAGTTCATTAACTGTTTCCTCTTTATTTATTTGTTACACTATGAGGTAAAAAATCGTTATGGCCGGTACATGGTTCATTTGATGAGGTTGTCAATCTGTATTTAATAAATCTCATATTCTCGTATGTAGTTGGTAAAATAAACCGATATGTTCACTTAATTTTTCATACATCGGTTTTTAGTGTCAGTTCACATTATTACTTTTGATGCAATAGTAAAATATATTGCGAGATTGGTAGTGAATTACAGTGGGCGAGTTTTAGTCTTTTATTTCATTAAAGAAAACCGTTACTAATTATCATTATTATTTAACTAATTGTGATATCGAGTTATATCTGTGCATTGAACACAATGTTATACCTCTACACGTTAGTAAAACTATCATCAGATGGGTAAAATTTGACAAATGTGATCGGTTTTTATTTTCTGTCTAATAAATCCACGGAGTAAAATGAATTTATTTTTCATCTCACGGATTTTCAATACTCAGCTACACACAGTCTTGTTAAATGTATTTACTAAATCTTCATTATCATTACTGTTTTTTCCACTCTAAAACTAATTAAAATGTTAAAAGTCCATATTTCTAAATCTTTTCTCATTCATAGAATACAAAATCGTTCGACAGTTTTTCAGTCGACTTTACACTCTTTACGTAAGTTTTATTCTGTTTTAACATGATTCAATAGTTAACTCGTTTTTTGTCGTATAAAAGTTATTAATCGAAAAGTGTAATAAACTAAGACTATTAAGATGCAATTTCTCAGCTTGGACGGTCAAACATTGAAGTCACTTTCTGTCGGTTGAGGTTCGCGCGATGATCAGTTTCCATTATCTGATACCTTCGTTTACATGCTTCAACATGGGTGGCAGTGCCACGGTCGCATCCATCCTTTATCTTCCCTTTAATTTCAGATGTTAATACTGATAATTTTCAGCCCTTTATTTCATATATTGTTTTCGAATTACATTATCTACTTTTGATTTTAAATACCACACCCTTGTGGTATCTCATTTTAATTCATTCCCACTAAACTGACGTCAAGTTTAATATGGATTCGTTGTAGTTTTTACGTTGCATTTTACCAGCTGAATGACTAGGGACAATCTTAGTAAACATTTTATTTATATAGGTAACCAAATCATATGATTATATTTTAAATAATGTTTGGACTCAAAATAGCAGCCTTCTCACTCTTGATATAGTATTTTGTTAACCGAATGAATATGATAATAAAGTCTAATTTGACAATAAGCTAACAGTTATTCATGCACAACTTAGCGTTTGACACAATTTTACATCTTCCTACGTTGTCAAACTTCACATCAGCATAATGAAGGGGAATTAACATGATGAAAAACGAAGAAGTAGAAATAACAACATCTATGACAGAAGTAAGACCAAAGAATACACTTCTAAAACAATGAATAAAACAAATAAATGAAAATTTTCAAGCGGTATTAAATTTTATGCCACTGCCACCAATTCCAGTCGGTGTTACGTGGTCTTCATCGATAGATTACGGTTACTGCACATATCTCAACCATGTAGTCTGAATCTCCTGACTCAATTCATTTTAACAGCTAACGATTAATAACATGTCTTATTCGAACCACGTTCAGCCAACTTTCAGACTAGTCTGATGCTAACCATTATTGCGTCGAGTTACGAATTGGCTGAGCTTACTTGACATATATACCCTAACCACTACAATCAGAAAAGGTTTACAACTTTATCTACCAACATGGTAACCTGTGTTTAGCCTCTGCACTATTCAATCAGTGGTGGTTCTGCTACATAAAAAATGTTTCTAAGGTATTTGTCGCCAAATGCTCACAGTTAATATACATATGTCCTCAACCTTCAAAGACCATTTGTCCAACTATGAAATGTCAAACAAACTTTTATGCATGGAGTATTTGTGAGACTAACGTATTAAAGTCGAACTGATCTATCAACCTGTTATGTGTGCGGCAGATATTACCACAGTATTCATATGTTCTAACATCTAGAAAAATTAATTCTGTAATGCATATTATTGAACAAGTTGTAGATTAGCTAAACCTCAGTAACCAATATTAGTGTCTCACCTACCATAAATTTAATCAAGCCTATATAAGTCCCATGTTTTCTGTCCAATAAGTACCCTATAATGTATGAATTGATTAATTTCACTATCTTTGAATTATTTTCAATATAAGAACTTGGTGCTAATTGCGCGATTGATATATGATAAGGCTATTTGGAGTATCTCATATTTCTGTAGTATTATCGTATAAAAGACCAATAAAAATTTGTTTGTAAATTATATTCAGGATTATCTACATCAAGGAAAGTAATGCTCATAAAACTCAGAACCGGAATACGATGAATTGATATTTGTTCCAACCGAAATTCGATAATCAGATCAGTATATTCCAAATACTATTTTTAAACTGTGATACTATGTAAACAATTGAGCGAGACTATAATTTATGAACGAACCAATCAAATATAAAATCACGTCTCGAATTTTGCCGCGAAATTCACCCATTCATTTGGCTAAATAGAGTTTTGGCAATATAGCTGATGTCAGTTTGTAATGAAAACCCTAGATCTAATACCTAGCCTAAACCATCAACTGTAAATCATAATTCTAATTCCCCACACTGGTTTATAATCCTCTTTTGGTCCTAGTTATTAGATAGACACTCTCAAGGTCAGTTTAGCGTTGCTTAAACGTCGTCCATAAATTATGGTCTCACCGTTAACTGGAATTAAATAACGTTTTTCGACTTTAACACTCCATGTTAGTACAATCTTCGGATGTACCATTCAGGCTCTCATATAATTCAAAAGAATCACCATCGACTGGGCAACAGCCAAAGAAAACAGACTGGAGAAAACAACACAAATTAATAGCTGTTAACAAGCAATTTGCAACACAACAAAATAATCAATTCTTATTAATTGCTTTCTGGACCACTTGTCAGTGATTAGAACAAATAATCATTAAAAAAAAGAAAGTTAGGAACGTCGAAATTCTCAATGGGTCATTGGGACAAAAAGGCACAAGTGAAAAGAGTGAAATAGCCGTAAAGCACGATTTGTTTGTAAGTTATAATATTGATACATATCTAGTTAAATCAACTAATAATTAGGCAAAATATATCCAAAACCAGCCATTCCTAAACATTTCAAGCTTTGAGTTTTTGCTCTACAATAACAATACTTAAACTTGTGGTTCGCCTAGTTTCTCAAATGTCAAGTTCATAATTTTCTTTGTGCCCGTCCAATTCAAGTGAGAAATTTAAATCCATGAAAATCTAGTACATAATGTAATAACCAGGGTTTTGAATCTATCTTTATGACGAAATATTTTCATTACCTTCATTAAATTTACGTTCTTAACCTTTCTCCCACTATACACATGTATATGCTACTCTAGGTAGGTCGGTTAAAATTCTAATCACAAGACCAATGATTTGCATTCTTGTGGCAGCAGCATTTACTGGTAAGTTGGAATAAAATTAATACCTTAATTGTTAACTAAATTTTTCTTGTTTCATATTTTTGTGCATTACCGTTTGTTACTTACTATTTGTAAGTATCTAAAAACGTTTTTAAAACCTTTTTAAGCTTTGGAAATTTCTCTGCCAGTCTACGTGTTTGTCTTCCTATTTAGATCTGTTGGTTCGTCCTTCCATTTACAACTGAATATCTTGATTCTCTTCATTAAATATGTATGATTCTTTTATGTTTTGGAACATAGCCCTTAATCCCTTTTTGTTAATTGTTAATATTTATGTCTAACACAACTCCCTCACATTTCCTGATTCCTAGTTGCTCTTTCTTTTTAAATTTGATATTTGAAATGTTATTACCACTTGATTACCTCAAAAATGAATTATTCCACCTTTAAATAAATGTCATTCTTGTGGTTTGAGGATTTTTAAAGGTAACACGCCTATATTTATTCGATGTTCATCATCGATTATGTGATCAGAAATTACAATATTCACGAATTCTGTGTATAAGAATTTTTCAGATATCGAAATACTTCAAACGTACACTCAACAAAACAGCAAGTAGTGAATGATAAGTGTATACATGTACTCGTTATGTTATGTTAGGAATTACTTAAAACAATCATCGATACTTTATAAGATGGTGTAAGCAGAGAGATTTTATTGCACTGAACCAAAGACAATCTTTCCAGTCAACTCTGTAATCATATATATTTAATGTGAATATCTGAATTACTCAAACTGGTTAATTCTATAAGTGTTATATAACTTTGGATATTAACTTACGGCTGTATTTTGTTTTTGTAGGATTATAATGGTTCGGTGTATTAGCAAGTTTTAAATGTTAATTTTTTTTCTTGGTAACATAACGTGATCTTCTGCGTTTTAAATTCATCGGTTGTGTAGGCTTCTAACCATACTGTTTATCGTTTTTGTTTAAACTCACATTGCATACGATTAAGCGTTTGAATATTTCCTTGACACTTTTATTTTCTAATTTAGGCTGAAGAGGTTTTCCAGTTACTTTTCCTGTCCCCACTTCAATAAGAATACATCTGCGCCTTGGATAGTTTGTGAGCAAAATCTAGAAAGTATTTCAGAAAGATCAACAAATTTTAGTCGACCATATCCAATAGAAGCTAATGACATTCCGATATGTTCCTGTTGTTGTATTATTTTAGTTAATCACTAGTTCAAAATGTTTATAACGCCAGAATACACAGTGAAATCTCTTTAGATGACATAACAAAAAGACTATGGAGGCCCATTTTGGGCCCTACGTGATTCTTTATACCTATACATCTATAACTCCTGTCACTCTGTAGCTATGTGTAATATTTGGTTAACAGTCAGACAATTGTTAACAACGTTCCTAGTTCACTACATCTAGTTTAAACGTACTAAGTGCGGAAACAGACAACACCCAAGTTATTCTCGTATTGCATCGTACACGTTAATATTTCATAGTCATGTGACTTAGACATTAATCAGGATTTCTTTTGAAAACCACCTAACCAACGGTCACAATTTACGGTTTCTAATAAAATGCATATTACGAGCTAACGAATCGTACTACTAAACAACCATAGTAACCCTAACACTGGCTATATTGATTTACCAGTTTCACTTACCAAATCAGAGTGGTTGATATCCTTGACGCTTATTCCTCTTGTACGAAGTCTCCACTATAAATAAACTTAACAATGACACATAATTAAATTATGAATACCCGATATCTGGATGTTTCACGTATGATATTATTGCCCTTCCAGGATTGCGTAAACTGATGATTTCAATTGTATGAATTTCACTCATCTATTCTCACTTGACCAGTCGTTGTGTAAGGATGTGCTGAGGCATTACTGATTCTTAATACTTTGTGCGCCTTCAGTACCTTAGTTCAGCCTTCCTCCTCTGCAGTCACTCTGTGATTAATTGCCTGTCATTATTTCCTGAAACATTATGGGGTTATCAGTGGTTTTTAGGTTGGTTTATAAATTTTTCTTTATTTGTATCTTGTCCTATCACCAACCTTATAAGTTCGTAATAGCACCATAGTGAAATCACCAAACTAGGTGTCATTATTAGTAGAAACACGATATTAAATTCGGCTTCACACCATCTCCCATGTAGTCGAATCAAATTTCGTGAAGCGCCGTTAATAGTTGAAGGAATTCACATCGATGGGCTTCTTTAATATAATGTTTTTATCAAGTGCGTAAGTTTCTTGTTCAACTGTCGACTTTTGTATTTATCAATTAAAGCAAACATTTAGTTATTGTTTGCCACTTGACAAATCAAAATATTGTGTTTTTAGGAGAGAATTTATCATGCAGAGAATTAACTTAATAACCAAATGAAAATTCTGAGAAACGTTTAACATAATACAGTTGTAGCATTCCGGCCAAATATTCTAGGACTTTAGGATCAAACGCAGATGAATTTCAATCATGTTGGGAGTAAGTTATTCGAATAGTAGTAAACACAGTGAATTAACTCAAGTTGAAACTATAGAGTTGGTTTCCGATTCAGTGATTTAAAAATGACTCACTCGCTGTGAAACTCCAAGGTTCTGAATTCGATATCCGTCAGGATCATGGGTATACATTCATTGCTGAATAGGGAATCTTCTCCAGTCACCTACTGCATGAAAGCAAGACTAAAGGATAGAATAGTTGTAAAAGTATAGTCTTTGAAAGATTTTCATATCCCAACTTCTAAAACCATATGTTACTACACCATCACCTTTATGTCTTCAGCTTGATTGTATTCACAACTGAAATCTAACCATCAACCGACATTCCCTCTGAGATGTTTTGCCAATATTCTACGGTCAACATTAAAAATGTAATTAGAGATGCCTATTTAGCATTTTTCCCTTAAAATACCTTCAATTTATCGTACCATAATCTGAAATTATTTTAGGTATTAATTTGACGTTCTATTCAAGTCTATATGCTTCTGCGTTAGGACATTGTTTACATTTCGGTAGAAATGCAAAGTCTTATATTGGATTAGCTGGCCTGTTTATTGGGATTGGAGAAATTGTCGGTAAGTAATCTCACTTATTTTATTTTATACAAAGTAATTCTCTTTATAAACCTAAATAATATATGAACAATAATTAAAGCAGAATTAATATCAGTTCTTTATATTTTATAGATTTTCTTCCACAGCTTACAACATATTGATCAAATAGAGAAATAGCATGATATAATTTAACGCGAGTAAAAGTGATATGAAAAACGTAAAAGATTATGATTTATATAGAGTTAACAAATTAGTCTAAAATAGTTGGAATCATTTACATCGAATTTTAACCGTTGCATCAATTAAAGGTAACATAATAAGCCCAACAATATAATCTTAGTAACAAATAATTAAACAAAACTAAAATGAAATAAATTATATCGATAAAAATAAAGTTATGAACAGTTAAAGAGAATCTACGTAATTTTAACAAACCATATTGTTATGCGTCAATTATAAAATATGTTGTAGTTTGTATGTCTATTTTTTATTTTGATTGAAAGTCAACCTATCAGGCTTATAATCAACTTCACCATCAATTAATACAGTTTAAGAATGTTGTCGTATTTCTTTTATCTACATTATATTAGTGGCATTAATGAAAAATTCATTTATCCTGACAAAAGTTTTATTCACTGTGTGAATGACTAACTGTAATGTAATATGTTTGTACTGTTAAGTTTATTCCGTTTGTCTTACATTTATTCCAGGTTTTCCATGGTGGTCTAGCTTCAATTGACTCATGATCTCAAATAATGAAATTGCTATAAAATCCACAAAAACCCTTCTGATACTAGTTAGCATATGCTCGCTAGTAACTGGTTTCAAGAGGTATTTCCTGGAGTCCTAGTGAAAAGCAGTGACCAGTGGAGTGAGTGAGATAATAACTCACTGAAGACAATGGTGGATGTGTTGCTCAATTTCGTAGATTAGTTGAAGCTAGACATTAACACCATTAGATGCCAGCTCAGTGGTCTAGAGGTTAAGCGTTCGCGCGCGGGACTGATAGGTCCTGCGTTGGAATCTCGCGGGGCGGGGTCGTGGATACGCACTGATGAGGAGTCTCACAATAGGACGAAACGGCCGTCCAGTGCTTCTACGTTTTCCATGGTGGTCTAGTTTCAACTGACCCATGATCTCAACTATTGAAATCACATTTATTTGTTAATAAAATTGGTTCTGATTACAAACAAAGCATAAACAAAAAACAATTTTTAAAAAATATATCCTTAATGTAAAATCCCAAAATAATTCAATCCTTATAATTTTATTATCTTAGTTAACGTTGTCAACATTATTCTCCATTGTATTGTTTTATAAGGGAGGGGGAAATAGATTTGTGAATTACGGCACAATATGTATTTACGCTGTCTAAATGTACGCTATTTTATAAAACTGTAGCCGAAGCTGGAATTCTTGAATCGAACTGCTTATGAAAACTCAAACTTGGCTTTTTTAAATGCACCAATTCCTCTTCTTCTTAATGTCATATTTAATTACTCTTTAAATCTTCATCTATTTCCTACGACATCACTATCACTAGTGGCATATATATATATATATATATATATATATATATATATATATTCTCTACGACTTATTGCTTCTTGATTATTTGGAGAGGGCTTGGAGTCATAATAAAATACGAGGTAGTACTAATCTTGAGTATACTAGGTTATGCTGTTGAGTCACGTCACGATCACACTGTATATCATATGAACTTGACATGTAAGTAACTCAGTCATACGATAATTGATTTATAACGACCAAGAATAGTGCAAACTCTTACTCATATTAATTGTTAGACGCAGCAAATTTACACCATTGGTTTGGGATCAGGGTTTTCCGATTCTCCTAGATAAACTCTTCATATCCATCAACTCTACTTAAGGACTGGACGTCTGCTTCTCATGCTACCACTTTCTCGAACACGCCCCTAATGTGAAGATAGTGAGTAGGACTTCTGTAAATGCTATAAATGAGTGACCACATGGGGGATTTCGAGAGGAAAACAGTCACTCCTTAGCTTCAGTCATACAAGGACATTTGTGGGCTATATTCACTGCGGAATTTGAGCTTGATACCGAAGGCACTTAATTGTAAATCACTTGGTTATGAATTAATACTTCACCTCCCCTATATTTATTATTGTTCATGATTAAATCTAGCCTAAAAATCTTGATTGGCTACTTCATATATTGAATCAATTGTATATATCCGTCATCTACAATGTAAGACCAGGCACATATATGTGTATGTAATTTTAATCTCATGGTTTAAGTGAAGACAAAGTGTGTATACACCTACGCCATTGTGATCGATTTTGAACCATATCACCCAGAGTCTCCAACCACTGGTTACGACAGTCGGGCTGACCCCAATCAAGTAATCTGCATCTACTAACATGGCTCAGACTAGAAGTTAGTGACTTTGCAGACTGACGCTACGTTTTCGCTTGGTCGCCCGGAACTTTCTTCCGTCGATCTTCAACACTAGTCAGTACTGCCAATTATATATATAATTGTCGTATTTTGAAATAGTAATAAAAAACTTTATTTATATCATTGATTGCAGGTAGTTTCTCTTCACATTTAACTCGGTGGATTCGTTTAGAAGGAGTTCTAGTTATTTTTGGTTACATCAGTGCAATTGTAGCTGGCTATTTCACTTTCATGATGTTACCGACAAACAGTTCTATAAAAGATACGGATGAGCTGTCTTATATTACTCCTAAGCAAGTTCAAATTAAATTCACTATAGTTTTTTCTTGTCTTTTGTAAGTTAATCCTCTTTACCAACTGACTACCAGATGAAGACCAGTGAGATTTTAATTGACTGAATTCTTTAATTAATCAATGCAATTTCATCGCTGAGCTAAATAAAAATGACGTAGCCGTTTACGTTGTTTCGGTTTGAATTTGTGTCAGAAATGTTCAAAAAGTAGTCGGTTTGTACTTCATGCTCAAGCTCATTAATATCTGTTTGTAGCATTGAGAAAATCTCTTTTCATCGTAGTATCTTTGATTTTGGCGTCAGTGTGACACTAAGATTATTTCTCTGCTCAAAATTCTTACCACCAGAAGCTAATTATAAAAATGACAATGAAAACCATCTACACACCTTGTTCACAATAATGTTCGCTTGTGATGATGCAACATAATGGAAATTACGATATTACGTATCGAATACAAAAGTTCATTTATCAGTTGGTGTTTCGAGACTTTATCCAATGTGCTACACGTGTGCGACTTCTATCTATCTTAGTGTTTTATGTCACTTAGTGCAAGTATTACGTGGTTAGACGTCATTTTTTCAAATCACTTACTGCCAGACCAAAGATACAAGTTTCTTGGTTGAGTCGTACAGAACCATAGTGACATAGTTCATATTCCATTCATTCGTAAACTTTTTCTGAATTTTGAAAAATAACACTATTTCACATGTCATTTTCCGATTTCATCCATTTCTTGTAACCATAATTTCCATCTACCACTGGGTCAATTCTTTTACTTTTTGAGTTCCATTACTCTCCTAACTGATTATGTAATTCAGATTTCCTTTTATTCTACTTGGAATAAGACGACGGCATAATATATCAGTTATCTCAGGCTGTCACAGTAAAATTCAGATTGTGGTATTGAATCTCTGTCAAATATTTGTCGTAAGACTATTTTCCACATAGTAAATCGTTAGTGAGTAGTTCGTGTATTCTACAACGTGCAGTTAGCCATAATGAAACATTATGGAATCAGGTGATGACATCCTCTTATATATTCGGTGCATATCTTGTTTTTAACTTAGTACAGTCGAATTTTGACGTAGAAATAGTTAACTTGTTCATATCTTTTTATCAGTGTCTATTTGGCTATGCTCATAGCATTTTTGTTTGGTGGTGTGGATTCCGTGTGGAACACACAAATTTCTACTTTAATTGGTTTCATTTATGGTGAACATGGAAGGGATGTTACAGTTGGGTTTGCTTTATTCAAATCTGTTCAAGTGAGTATATGTGTACATACTTTTGTCTAATTATTAAGGCTATAAAATACATAATTTATTCCTTATTCTTATAACTTTTTCCCCTGTCAATTATCAAGTGACAAAATCATCTATCAGAATACCGACTTATATGACCTTGTTCTTGTGCTAAACCAGTGGCACGTCAACCAGCACTAACAGCCTTGCGTCAATTCTGAATCCTTATTAGTCCTTCTCTCTCAGCCCTCCCCATTGAGTTCAGAACGCAACCTCAGTCTCCACTGTATGAATAATATGTTTGAAACATACGTAATTTATACATAAGTAAACCGTATAAATAGCAACGATACAAGATGAAGCCAAAAGTGACTGTGAGTGTGAGAGACTGTAACTAATATATTGGGAATAACTTGGGAATATAAATCGTATAATAGTAGCCAAGAAATCAAATGAAAACTTATAATAAGAGAAATATAAATTGTATATAATCTAGTTACTCAGTAGTTATATTATAAGAATATATATATAACAGTCCACAAATAGTCCCCGATAGTTACCCATAATACAATCTTCTTCCAATACAACACTCATTGTAGCGTAGTATACCTGTAATTTGGTTAGCCATGTAAGTGGTGCCTGGTTGTCTACGTATTTTGTCGTGTGGCCACACTGTATTGTTTTTCCTTGGCATTACCCTTTCACCATTATGTTTAACCTGCAAACAAGGATAACTTGAGAACTAGGTGTATTCCAGGACAAATATTTACATAAAAGCTGCATATTGGACCTTTTGAATTCGCCTATCAGCGCTAGTTGTTCGGAAATGGATCAGTCATCATACTCTGAACACTAGTACCAAGAATGCAAGTCACTTCGTTAGAGGTCAATCTATAGTGTAATTCTTTACTGCGTGCACAATGCAGTTCACGCTCGATTTTATTAGAATATCGTAAACTTTAGTTATTTCTAACTTGACTAACATACGTTAGATTATAACCATACACATCCTGTAAACTACTGCTCAATGCTTCCTTTAAATAATAGGCAGTATGAACATTTAGTCCTACTAAGGATTCGCTAGTTAGGTTTACTCAAGAGCCTACTAAGTTAAAATGATCAGTTCGCAACAGATGTTGCTGATTCATAAGTCATTAACAGTTTACTTGTTAATTACTGATGATTAAACTCTAATGTAAACAAGAATCAACCCCTTCTGACAATCTGAAGGTAATATATGATCTGTACAATTTTTCTTCTTACTCATCCAAAACCTATATATATATATATATAATGTTTAATACTTTTTATTTTATACTGTTTCTTTTTAGTCTATCGTATCGGGAATTGCTTTTGTCTATAGCACTTACCTACTATTACACTGGCAAATACTCATTTTTGTTGTAATGGCTACTAGTGGTTTGTATTGCCTACTCAGTGTCTATTGGTCACATCTATCTCGCTCAGTAAATTTGATCGCCTAGACTGAACGAGCTTCTCCATGCTAATGTAACAAAACATTAACACCTCAGTGCTCAATATAAAGTTAACTGTGATTACTCTTGAAAACCATCTTGTCGTTATTACTTATCCTTTTCTAAATTGACAATGTTGAAGAATTGTTTGCATAGGAAATTGGCTTTTGTGCACATTTTCTTTCCTATGTTTTTTTTATTTATTCAGTTTGTTCTCAACTATCGATGAATTTTATTGCAATCACGATTAAAAATCATTACGACTTAGTGTGTGTAATTCGTCTCAATGATGGGAGTGTGATCTGCGTACTTACTTATTTCTTTGACAAGTAATACACTGACAAATTTTCTTCAAGTAAAAGTGCCACTGTGGCACTAACTGAAATATCATCCTCTTTTTTAGAATTAAGAATCACATGAAGGAAGAGTTTAAAACCATAAGTATTCATGAAATCCCTATTCCTTAGTAAAGAATAATTCAAAAGAAATTCGTTTATGAAAAATGTGAACAAATTGTAAAGTTTGCAATCTGTAAACATTAGCATGCAAACATGCACTGGATATTTTGAGACTATTTAGCCAAAAATATTAAAGAAGTCTTAAATGATAATCAGAATTATTGGCTTTGGACCCCCATACTGTGTTTCATTCGTTAGGAAAATTATTCGAATCGCTTTTAACAGAATGTAAATTTGTAACCCACTAACCAAAGTTGAACGGCTAAATTAATGAACAAAAAACTCCATGTGTTATGTTTGTAGTGTTACTGCGTCATTTGAGCATTAAACCAAGAAGATTCTTTTAAGTTATAATCAGGATAAGATCTAAACATTCAGATCCTCCAAAACTAATGGAGTCCAAATGCCTAGAATATCACACACAGCTACACTATTTTACGATGAAGCAAAAGTAATTTATATCCGTTTTGTGGATTAGATGAATATTCCAAGATGCTAGTGTTGATTTAAAGCTATAAAAAAGAAATTAGACTTACATAAACCATTACAATCTATACGATCGTGCTTGCGTTCACAGACAAGACAATATTTCACATGCCGTGATGGGTGATTGAATATGTTTTTCTACTTGTGTTGACCACGGTCAATGACAACATAGACGGAACTAGTTAGGAAGCACCGTCTAAACTTACAAAACCCATATCTCAAGAGTTATGTTTTAACCACATATTTATGTTCACTTTTACACGGAATATATTACATTTCAAAGTTTGTTTGATTGAAAGCTTTTTTTTCTTTTGACATCTGCCCATTTAGGAGTTCTCATCAATATTCGTACATTCTCAAGCAACAACCATTCAACTACTTTACACCTCATCTAAACAATCTATCACGTCTTGTCCTCTATGTTAATGTTACTGTCTATAATACTTTTCTATTTGAGGTATGTAAGATTATGCAAACTTATTCAGAATTAGGATATTCATTCAGTTGTACTAACTGGATTTAAATTTTCTCAACTGACAGAATTCTGAGCCAGTAATAAGCTAGGATTGGTCACTTAACTCAACATTTGAGAGGATGTATCGAATAAGTAAAACTGGGTCACCGGTAGATTTCGCGTCATTCCCAACCATTATTTACAGCTGTTGCAACCAGGAAATTTGCACCTTGCGATATTGCTCGAACAACTTGTTAGTGACTTTGTGGACCGGTGTCACACACTGGTATTTTTTCAGCCTACTCTTGCGTCAGCCAACAATGCACACCGAGGCAGAAAGTCCTTAGGTAACGGTAACATTTATCGACTACCTTAACCGATAAAAATTCATAGTATCAAGCCGACATTGCTTTGCACACACCAATAAAATACTTGAAACTTACATATGTCCTTTACTTTCATGGGCTGTTTTAGTGCTTCATTTTGTTATTTTCCTTATCAAATATATTTATTTCATCCGAGTCCAAGTCGATGAGTGAATCTCATGGTATGAGATCAATCAGTGAGAAGTTAGAAAGCATTATTTCTAGAAATATACGTGACGAAACTATGTGAGAATTTAGTTAGTGGGTAGCCCTGACGAATTTCACTGTAGGTTGCCAATCCACGCGATGGCTCGCCATAAGATTTAATCCGACCACTGATTACCGAGTAAAGGATCTTCCTAAAGTTTATGTGCTTCGGTACACATTGAACGATAAACACTGCCACCAGTCCTGACGACCACCTGAGGTAGTTGAACCAACAGTTCGAGAGATACGTTTACGGTAGTGCATCAATAAGTATATTTACACTTCGAAAGTAAAATGGATATCTTTTTTACAAATCCCTCCTTAGGTCTTACAACTGCTTGACATCCCCAGTTTGTATACTTACCAGCACCAATAGTGTCGGGTAGTGAGTGCTAATATTTTAGAATATTAGTCAGACTGATTTCTATACGGTTATTAGTCTTTTACAAAAACAAGGATGCTAAGTGTTCATACCCAGCATGACGGCATTGTCTTCAGCTATCAGACTTAGCTGGCATCTCAGCCAGCCTTTCTACTAAAACAACTACCATTCTTTAATCTTAGTCTCTCACTAGTCTAAACAGTTATCAGATGTCAACGATGCTCCTGTGCCTTTCGATAAATTTCACTACTGATTATTACGTGGAATAAGTCCATTTTTACGTTCCCTCTTGTTGTTAAAGCTCGTTGGGGTAGATTTCTGAGCATCTACAAGTTTAGTAGTCTTTTATGATTGCTATAGACCAATGTATATCAGAATGAACATGGCCGACCAAGTACTTAGATAACGCATACTTTTGATCTTCGAATTAAGATCAAAGGTTTTGTTTTTTTATGAGTTTAGTAAGGCCCACATGAACGCGTACTGGGACAGACAGTCTAACATGTGCTACAGAAAGAGCAACAATTTTCAAAGATGGGTGATAGCAATATGGTCTATGTAAGTTGGTGCTTGCCAAAAACAAATCGTTTGTGCAATCGTATCTTGACGAAAAATATGGTAATGAACTACGATAACAACAACGGTTGATTGGTGTATAAGCTAACTTTACAACAACCGGATAAATCACTGGATACATAACAACGTAAGTCATCAACGGAAATCGATACCCACTGATAACTGTGTGTCTCATGTCACAGTACCTCACGTTTGTTATGAGCACAGCGTGATGCCAGGAAATTACGTACATTATCGTAATCATTTCAGTGTTTCTGCTACATCACATTTGTATTCCGCTGCGTTTGAGATTGCATAAAAAACTCTGGTAATTAATGCCCACTAATGTGTTTTGTAACGAAGACCATCAAACTAGTAATTCTTATTTGCAAATTACATTGAAGCCTGATTATGGTCTTGGAAGTTATATACAAGAATGAATATCGACAAAGTGTATCCGGAGTAATAATTTTGTAAGATATGGTCTACTGGCCCGAACATGTTATGTACCTCTAGTACCAAAAATGTCTTATTTTGTTAGATGATGTTAGAGGTAATGTATTATGATGACAATTTTCCAGACTTCAATTAATATATGCACTAGATAATGTTCAATAACACGTTTTAGAATCCTTATAGAAACACCATAAGTTAGTAGTACTGGAGAGTGCCTGTTATAATGCTCGGTTTGCTTCGTGTTTACGAATGGGATGTTAATTTGCCTGAGACAAATATCACACTAGGTACCCTCCCAGTGTCTATTCTGCAGGACTTCAATACAACTCAGATCAAGAAGACGTGACTAGCCTTACTAGAACGTAAATATATTTCTACACCAAAAACTAGTCAATAATAATACGGACAGGAGAATATATAAGTTATCTAACACCTGTCAGACTATCTACAAGTCTGACTAAGCGAACAACAAATCAATACCATCCTTACCCACACGTCAGTGCCATTACACGACGTCTTCCGGACAGACATTTCTTGGTAGCTTAGCATTTAGTTCTTGACTTGACCCATAATTTCCAACTTTAATATTCTGTCATATACTGCATCTTAGAACACATATCTATTGTCATTTTCTCAGAGGCATGTTCTCAAAAGCAACATCTGACCTTCTTAGTGTTTAGATCCCATATCCTCTTTGGTGAAAATGGACGGGAAAGGGCTAAGTAAGACAAAGATAGAACATGACAAGTCAGTGAAACTGATAATTAACTCTCTGAACTATGCTGACGGACAGATTTCTTACTCAGGGTTTATGAGATAGTATTCTATGGTTGAAAAAACTTGGGTGATGTGGTTTCAAACTTGCAGTCATGACCCAAATCCATAATTTAAGTAATAAGTTGACAGACATCAATAAAATAAGCCATCCAGCTCATTGATGGGTTGTTACCTGATCACGTAGACCTCACTTTCAAATATCTACAACTCTGACATCTTTATATATAAAAATAAAAGGTCAACTGGACCAGAAATGGAGATATTAGCAAACTAGAGTGGAGAATAAATTCAAACCTAGTAAAACTGCTGTACATGATTATTACTGACAAAGAGGAACTCGATGTTCTAAAACCAATCGGCTCTGAGTATCCTCATTTACATGGATTACCTGAAATTCACAAATCGAGCATTCCTTTACGCCCAATCTTATTAATGTGTCGATCACCTACACATAACCTAACTAAATGGTTGACAAAATTGTTGGATTCCATCCGAAGACGTTTATTTAAGTATTCTGTGGAGGATTCTTTTGAATTGGTCGATAATTTATGTGATATTAGTATCAATGGGGAGAAAATGTGTTTATTTGACATGAATTCCTTGCTCACAAATGTACCACTGAAAAAGACTATTGATATATTATGTGACTACATATCTTTGAACAACCTTAAATTACTATCACGTACTGAAGAAGTCCAGTTCACATTTAAGGGTTGCTATGGATAGTCTGTTAGGACCATTATCAGCAGATGTGTTCATGGCACATGTTGCAAATCTAGCTGAAGCCCTAATCGAAAATATTTCCCTTTGTAAGAGATATCAGAATGATATCTTAGTTATCTGTGAAAGAAAGGACGATATGAATTGTTTATTAATTGGACTTAACACTCCAAAACCACACTAGTCTTTCATGTGAAAAGGAGAAGGACCACCTCCCCTTAGATATATTTAGAAGTAGACGAGATGGTTCAATCAAATGATCCACTTTTAGAAAACAAACTTAAGTAGATGGAAAGGTTATGGTATAGTGAGGCCTACTAGTCTTGATAGAAAGAAGCCTGTCTACATCATCTTGCCGTTTAGAGGTGACTCAAATAGCTCCTTATTGAAACAAAGGCTTAAGTCA